ATATTTTGACTGAGGCCATTTGGCTTGTTAAATGTCAGTATCTATCTAGTTTTGGTCTTCAGGTAATCCTCTGTACATTGGACAACAAAATGTATTCATGATTTTATGTTAGTCTTGCAATTTGTATATTAATAATGCTTCCCGTGATATCCTTGTTGAATTTATACAACCATTTTGGTTATGTATGCATTTTTTTTTAAATTTTTTTTTTTATGGGAACTATTTGGTGTCTATATATTAGTTTATTACCTTTTTTTTTACCTCAACATGTTGTATCTAGTAGACGGCGAAGATGCAATTTTACAACTTAATAAATGATTAAAATAAAATGTTAGTCAATTATATTTTAAAATATGTACATTGTCAGTATGATACAGTAAGACCATCGTACCTTGAGATATTGTGTCCGCCCACTCAACTAGTTTTTATGGCATAACCATAACTTTTTTATTCAAACCGTTAAAAAACCTTTGTGATGTTAAAAAGTTTAAACGATCAATCTTTGTATAATATTTAATATGACATGTTTTAGTTATTTTTGTATATTACATTTTTGAACAGTTTGATTAGAATTACAGTGTCAGAAAACTATTAAAAAACTCATCACATTATTTTATTATTAAGTTAATACTAGAATTCTAACTTAAATAAACAACAACATAAATGTTGCATTCATGGTTTTTTTCAATTGTAAACAGTACATTTTTCCAAATTTCTATGTATAATTTTTTTTATTATTATGTAATTATAATGTAATATTGAGGTTTGTTGGTTAAGCTCTCATTTGCCAGATTTGTTTTGTAAAATAAAATACAAATTATACTGTCATTTTGTAATATAAACTTGTCTATATAATACATAATAATATGTTTATTGTTTTAATTTTTAATTCTGAAATCTTAATTTTGATTTTCAAAAGTCGGTTATTTTCCAATCTTGTATTATGTACATAATAATAAACAAAGGTTTTTAATGCGAAGTTTTTCTTCCTGGTTTTTAAACTCAGCCACCCTGCGGAAATAGTCCTCGAAAAATGTATGTTATATAATATTACGTTTAAATTAATATTCGCATATTAATTTTGCGCAGTTATTTCCATTGATCAGTCAAGACAGACATGCGCCTTCAACCAAAAACCGACTTCAAAGAATGAGATCGATGAGCGTATTTATAAGTTAAAAATAAAATGATATAACATTAGTGATGAAAAATTTTCCCCCGTCACCTATATGGAGATCCTGTGGACTGTAACACTTCCACCTTCAGGTGCTATTGTTACATTGTATGAAAGCATCATCAGTTCTTCTTTTCAGGTTATTTTGAAAAGAAAAATAAGCGGCTACGATCTGTGCACGAATTCAGACGTTGTATTTATAATTTATCGTATTTGTTTCGTAATACACATTATAAAAGGACTAAAAAAATGATAAATTCAACATTTCTTTTCATGTTTATTTGCTTAGGTATATTCGATCGGTTTATCCTGTATAATGTATATTAATCGTCGATACATAACATATATTTACATTATTGTTATTCCTTATTCACTAAAAAATGATTAATGTTATCGTTATAATTACTAACATTTATATATTTTCTTTGTACATTGCTGTCAGGCGTAATTATATAAAAAATAAAAAATAATTGCACCTAAAAAGCTGTTGTTAAGTGATGTAGTAAAATGTAAATCTATCTGTGAATTTTTGGTCTTTGGGAGCAGAAATGTAATTTTTTGTACCTATAGGTAACCGGTAAATACAAATCACCCAAATGCACACGCATTGCTGTATCCTAGTTTGGTCCCGAATTTAAAATTGAAAAGGTATCTGGGGCCGGGATTATATTAAGTAGGCAGTAGGCCCTACAGTCTACACTTATTGGGTCCCGATTTATCTTAGGAATTACACTAGTTGCGTCCCTTTTTTTGGTGAGTACTACACATTTTCCTTTCCATTTTAGTGTACTTAAGACTGTCTATGATTTATTTGGAGTTTAGATCAAAGGTATTGTTAAAAATGTTTTTATAGTTCATTATATTTTGCCATTAAAAATTAAACTATAATATGATACAAACATGGGTAGGTTCCAAGAAAATTTTTTAAAATTTTTAAAATTCAAAACATATGTTTAATATTTATAAAAAGAATTTTTGAAAAATCACTTTTGTGTTGGTAAAAATTTATATGACATTAATAATTGGTATTGTACCCATAAATAATTTATATTTTTAATAAAAAAGGAAACTGTAAAAAACATTTTTAACCAAATCTTTGTACTTTGGTTTAAATACTCTTAACTCCTAAGTTTGATAAAATGGGAAGGAAAATGTTAGTATAGTGTAGTTACACTGTAGTAGGTACTCACCTAAAAATATTAGTGATTCCTCACTTTATTAACATTTGGTTCATCCTAGCACTTGGATCCCAACTAGGATGTGCCAACACTCATCTAATAGGCAGGGGCATAGCATATTTTTTTTTGGGGGCGGGGGGGGGCTCAATAAAATTATTTTTTAACATGTACAGAAATCCGAAAATGCGCTTGTGCAGCATCTAAGTTAGACAGTCGATAACTTTTTATATCATAATTTAAATTTTAAAGTCAATAATTTATAAAATTACTAAAACGTTATAGCAGAGGTCAATTATTCTTGTACAGTAGAAGGTATATTCCTTTTATACATGTTGATATTATGGAACTTTTTGACCTTTCATGTTTGATTTACTGGAATGAGTTGAAATTTGGCATGCATCGAATACATATGAATTTATTTGGAGGTTAGGTAAAGGTTATTTTAAGGCTGGGTTTGACTCGAATTTGGGATTTTTCGTAAAAAATAATAATTTGTTTTAAACCTAAATAAAATACCACGTTACTTTTTTTGTTTTATACTACAAATACGAGTCTAATGTGCGCATATAGGTTTGTTTGGTTATTTATTATTTTGTATATGTTTGTGTTTATTTTTATTTATTCTTTATTTAATTATTATTTTTATGTTTTATGTATGTCTAATGAATTTTTTAACTTTGGCAGTAAACATTTTTTATGCAGGATCAGATAAGTATATTAACTATTAGACGATTAGACCTACTATACAACAATAGGATATGAAGAATTAAGATGTGTTTGAACGAATCCTGTCAAATAATTCTTTGATTATAATACGTCGCATAAACATTAAACACTCGTTGTAGCCTGAAACACGTATGACGTATTACTAACGTCTAATGATAATACTATCCATAATTAGATATAATATATAATATAATAATACACGCTGATAGTATAGATTCGTGCTCAGATATTATTATTTATGTTCTTTGTAATGCTATTTAAATATTTAAGTATTTAACATTCAATATTGTTTTTAAAACCAGTTGACTGAATGGAATATTCGGCCTATAGGTTAGGTATCGAATGTGATGGTGTCATAATAGAAACAATGAAATCACGAATCCGTCACTGTCATCTATCACGTTTATTCCTTAGTGCTTAATTAGCCCACAGGGTTCTAATAGAAATTTAGATTTTAAATACTCGTATTCGATTTACACGTAGGTAGGTGCCTACAACATATGCAATATGCAATATGCAAATGTATAAATCTATGTATAATGTATGTTAAGTACCTATTTGTATTTTATATATCTGTAACAAAATTATAGTTTTTTATATTACATTATAAATATAAGTACGATGTACCTAGTACCTACGTAGCGTTTACACATCAACACAATATGACGCACGTAGTAATTTTATTAATTATTAATAAATAATAATACGTGTAATGACAAAACGTATTTATTGACTTGTGCATACTAGCTACTACGCATAATATTAACTAATAACAACAGGTATGGCGGGTATTGCGTAATAAAATGTAAAAAACTTGAGTACCGTTTTAGAGTACCAACCTACTTGCCTAGGAAGGTTTTCTAGCTTCTAATTATGTGCTTAGAAATAGGTAGGACGTATAAAGCTATCTGAATTATGCCATAATGCATATTATTATTTGTTAGGTAGGTAGATATGTTTAAAACATCCTAATATTATTTATTTATAATATTTATATAGTGGATAGACGGATTGTACACTTGAGTCTTAGTGATTTTTATCAAAAGAAAAAACTAGATACTTGTGGAAATCGTGTATTTAGATGAAAAATGAGTTGTTTGATTGAAAACGGACTTATTCCTGGAAAAGGAACGTCTTGTCCAAAATCACTTTCTTTAAACCTACAAAGATACTGTACAGATTTTAAGGAGAACACTTTCGAAATTAAAAATTGATTTATCATTTTTTTTACCTATTTTTCAATGTATCACTTATTATGTAAATCATGTACAAATTAGAGGGTTAGAGACACAAAAAAACAGCAGTCCTAAAATCTAGAAAAATGGAAAATGTCCGTTTGAATTGAACCCCTCAATTTTTGATAAGCAATTTTAACACCTATCAAATTATATTATATATTTTTATTTAAATTTAATCAAGGTTGTGATACTTAAAACATTTTGCTTTGAACTTTTGAGTTGATATTATAAAAAGGTTATTACTTATTTTGAAATGTTTAGAAAGTAATTGAGCAAACATTAAACTTTAAGTCTTTAACTAAAAAAACTTAACAATTATCGAAAACTCGTTACGTACCTAGTAAATAAATACATTAGGGTTATTCTATTATAATTATTATCCAGAAAACAATAATAACGAAGACTTGGAAATTTGTCCAATTCATTCATGGTCCTTTTATTGTCAAATTTTTTTTCAGGTGTGCATAATTAATAATTACTATAAATTATAATCCAAATTTCTAGCCAATCTACCACTGCTTGTTAGGGAAGAAAATGATAATTTTAATACATTTTATATGAGAAAATACTTTCGCATATGCATTTAGTTAGTTCAAGTATAATATTGATAATGTCTTTACTGCAGGTATTGATAAAATCGTTGAGAAGTGATCGGTAATATAATGTATTTGAGTGACACCGGCATCAAATTGTTGTTATTTATTATTATTTTTAACAAATATACATCAAAATTTACCTAACTTGGAAGAAATTACGAAGACGACTTGTTATACGTCATTTTCCATTCGTAGCTAGATATGACTTATTTTGGTGTCTTGGTAACGATGAATAATGAATGATAGGCATGGGTCAAGTCAAGTTTAAATCACTTTTCAAATGTATTATTTGTAAAAGCTAATATCCGACATGGTCCACCAGTACCCCCAATAATCTTGATTGGCTGGATAATAAGTTTGAATCCTTTCGGTGGTAATGTTGTACCATTTAAAGCTACGTTTTCGAGATTATATAAGTTAGCTTTAGATAGAATTTTGTGCACATCAGATGACTTTGAAATGCCTGGATCAACGCTAGGACCATCTACTCCTATGCCGAATACTTTTTTGCAATCGACAATCCATTGTGCTGCTTCTTTAGATAATCCTGGAAAACTTAAAAACATAATAAAGATACGTATTAGTATATTACACTTAAAAAAAACTAATAACGCGCTATAAATTAGTAAAAATCAAGATCCATATAAATGTATAATAATGGATGTAATATTTACTAGTTTGTACATGTACAAATGTACAATATATTACCTATTAGGTTAGTTACATACAACGTTAATTTTTATGTTATGTCAAGTGTGAAAATAAATTATATACTGCTAATATTATTACCAAATACCATTACCTTAATAATGATCGCTCGGTAACATTATTATAGTATAGTTGACGATTGCCAAACTTATGAGCCCATCCGAAATTGACTAATATCACACAACGGTGTGGAAGTGGACCATTGTCGTGTTCCCATTTCTTCAAATTATCGACTGTAAGTAAAAAGTCACTATTTCCATTGACTTCATGACTGACATTTAGATGCACACCTAATTTTTACATTCAAACGTATTTAAAATAATTTATTAGTGGTACGATTTCTATCAGTTTTTGTAAAATGTTTGAATAAAAAAAACATTGCACCAAGAAATATTCAAAAATACCATACAATTGTTAAAATTGTTCCATTGAAAATAATAATATTATAATTTTGTAGACCGTATTTTTATCATTCGGAATATCATGTAAAACTTTTTTTTTCAAAATTGGCTCAATTTTGATTTTTGGCTGAATGTCATCAATTTTAATATTTTACTTAGGTACGTATTCAAAAATCGGGCTCACCGAAAGTATAAAACCGAATTATAGCTCCATGTACAAATTTAATAATTTTATGTTTTTATTATTATGTCACTTGAAAGTTTAAATAGTTTGAAAAGTTATAAAAATATAGAAACAAACAAATATAAGTGTTAATTTCATAATATTTTAACAACCTTTTAGATTAAAGTTAAGTCATTTCAATGTTGTTTGAGTTGAATTTTGACATTGGACAATCTTCGTCTTTTGGGATAATAATTCATATTTTCAGAGCATAAACATATGGTTCTTGGAACCACACGTAATCTGTTAAAAACGAAAACTACTCACATCCGGTAACTAATTACGACGATAAAAAAATGTTTGTTATAGTTTAAGATGATGAAAATAAGATCAAATATTGCCTTTTTAAAAATGATGAAAATCTTTTTAATCAATTCATTTTTGGATTGTCTTATTAATACCCATGAATTTGTATATTAAAATATTGTATCTATATATTATTTTAACTTACCCTCAACTACCATACGTTCCAATGGAATTTCATCCAATTTCCATCCTTCCTGATAAAAGTGATAAGGTGCATCTAAATGAGTGCCACAATGTTCGGACACTGAAAAGCTCTGTGTTGAATACCATCCATTAGGACCTGTGCCTCTTCTTTCTCCAAATATTTCGAACCGTTGCGTTGCGGTCCAACAAGTGGTAGATTGATTTTGATAACCATGACATAAATCAATCACAATACAGTTAGCTTCCCTTACCACCAAAATCGCCAGAATAAAATTCCAAACATATAAATACATGATGTGTTTATCAATAAGATAACGAATTACTTGATTTATTAATAATATAAATATCTATATGACTTTACGAACAGTAAGAACTTTAGTTAGTATATTATATGAGTAGTGTGTAGGAAACTATACTAATTGCTCATACCTTGATGACTTGTAGTATTATAACTTAAGTTATAAGTATAGTTGAATATCTATAAACTAAATAGAGATTAATAAACTACAATATTAACTAATAAGTTAATATTGTTTCTGATTTATCAGTCTAATTTTATTAGTATGAGGTTACAGGTTACTAATATTAAATAATATTAAACATTAATATTTAATTCATAGTTGGTGTATTATATTAACCGGTAATAGTCTGATTGCAATAGTACATTGTACATATCATTATAAAAAACACTTAGGTAAATAAATAACCAAATAAACTTTTTATGAAATTATTCAAAATTTTACCAAATATAAACGGTGTTTAAGTAAAAAAAATATCTCTTAAAATCAAAACTATAATTTGTTACATGTAAAAGGTAAGTATTACAAAAATGACATGCAGTTAATATTAAGGATGTATGTAATTACAAGATTTTTGAAAAACCAAACTAAAATTTGAGTACCTAGGTAACCCAAAATTATAGTATTTAAAATAGTATTTGATACTTTGAATGATTGATACAGATAAGTAATTATACAAATGCATATTATGAGTACCTTCACTGTATAATATGTACTTTGTTGCCGATGTCTTTTTTGATCAATAAAAAAAAAAAATGTACTTATATCTTTATAGGTATTTTTTAAAACACACAATCTATAGACACAGTGCCGTAGAGAGAGAAACCGGGGCCCACTGTTTAGTCAAACTTGCCTAACTTTGTCAAATTTCCGGGACCTCTTAAAAATTCGGTGGGGGATCCTCTAATTTTTTGGTTAGGCCTGTCTATAAAATGGGAATTATCATGACTACCTATGAAAATCTTAAATAAATTGTATTCATCATCAATATTATTAATATTACAATAAGAATATAAAACTGTTGACACTTAATTATGCATGTTTCTGTTTTTCAACTATACAAGCAAATTATATAATTATATGTTCCTTACATCTACAATAACATCTAAAACTAAAACATTATAGGTATAGAGTACAGACTATAATATAGAAGTGTTCAGTGTCCACAGTCCACAGTCCTCAGTGGCTCAGTCTACACTGGTGAAGAGTGATGGTAGAATCTTGCGCTTTGTTCAGAGAAAAATGATATCTAGAACAAATGTTTAATTCTGCCACTAACTGTGAATTATATGAATTTACATTCAACATTTCTTAATAAAATAAAAAAATGAGAGATCATAGGTCAACCAGAATTTGAATAAGATAATAGATATACATTATATACACAGTCTTCTTTACATACTAAGGAATGAGGATAGTATCTAATATATTAAATACTAAATACTTTGTGAATCTTATATTGCACAACGAATTATAATTATCGAGCTCATATCCATTTTACAAAGCATTTTAGTATAATAGTCTATCTATTATCTTTATTCCTTAGAATGTAAAGAAGAATAACTAAGGAAGTTTTCGTTCAAATTTCGATTACAATACGTCAAAAAATTCCAAAAATCAAAATTTGAATATATGCATAATTTAAGCATAAAAATGGGGTGAGCATGCTTAAAAAATTAGTTTGTATATATATATACATATTATGCATATTAATTATATGTATTAGGTGTATCGTGTATAGCAAACTATACCGAATCTTGTGGAGTTTGTGTTTGTCACCAAAGCTAAATTTAATAGAAAATATAATATATTACTGAATATTAGATATGTGAACTCATGCCCCCCCTCCCCCCACGAACATGTTCAGTGGAGCCCATTATCTTCTTGAAGAATAAATAAAACAAAAATATATACATTGCCGGATGAGCCGCCTTGTTTTTCGGTTACCTCTTGGGTAAACCAATTAACGCGATGGCTGTCGTAAATCTTAAATAACAAGAATTTAAGACAACTCTCGACTGTTATTAAATATTTGTGTTTATTATATAATTACATGTATTAACTTAAGAATTTGGCGTAAAACATATAATATGGATTTGAGTTTAAAATATGTTGCAAAAATACAAGTTCAAGCCTATAAAGTATAGGTGCCAAGTTCTTATAGGGTTTATCAGGATTCAGGGGCGTTTCTCGGGGGGGAGTAGGTTGTTCAACCAACTTCGGTCACTTGACAAATATATAATATGTACTTGGTACTTACTACTTACACGTATAATTTTAATTTTAATTCATAATGTATATTGATTATATTATATTAAAAAAGTTGAATCACTCCCCCCATTCGAAATTTCTAAGCAAGCCTCTTGGTACTATTATATACTTGCTATTACCTAATATATTATATGTACATACATTTACATTATATTTCTATATCTATAAAATATACAGGGTCTTGTTCTTGCATAATTACTATTTTATTCATAAATCTACCAGAAATACGCTTAGATAATAGTAGCAGCTTGCAAAAACGATCTTCTAAATCTAAACTATAGACCATAGTTGTAATGCACTATTACTAAGAATTTTAAAGAGTACTATATTATACGGTCCATGAAAAAGGTCATTTCGTAAACGTTAGAAAAGAAGCCTTCGAAATAATAGCATCACATTCTCACAAAAAAAAAAAAACTGAAATTAACACGTGTGTGGCAACTCACTTTCAAGTTTCAACCAGCCGAGGTTGAATTAATTTACACTATTCTAAACGTTAAAATGTCCCTATATTTTGTGTGAATAAATTTCCATAGATTTTCAATCAAACTTTAAATATGTAAATACATACAAATCACAAATATGAGCAGAGTGTAGTCATCAATACGTCATTGATAAAACAGTATAGGTACCTATGTACATTTGATTCACCGACTGGTTATGAACTTATGTGTACAATCCAGATACATAGTCATTATTGTGTGAAAATTATATAATAAAATGTAGGTACCTATAATTTGTATTTAGTAATAATTTTATATTTTTATCACCATAAGCGGGAAATTTAGAATAATTTACTCGTCATTTTGCTACTATTATAAAGTTATTATTTTTAGATAGACAATAATGCTGTTAACCTATACGACTAATGACTATACAGGTTTAGTGAGTATTTAGGTACGTACTGGCTAGGTACTGGAAATATAAAGGTCGAGTAAACAATAAAATTAAAAATCACACTGTTTGGAAAACCAATCACATGGTCGTTTAGAAAATAATACTAATCCATCACTTATGCATTTAAATTTAAAATCCTTTTTCGTATCTATACTATCTAATATCTCCACTCTTCAATGTTCATTGTTCACTTACAAGGTAAGTTACCAATTAGAAATATACCCATAAATTTATGAAATACGAATGATAGTGGCTTTATTATATAGATTATTTTTTAAATGGTGTCGGTAATAGGTATTTAAATGCTTATATTGTTTATTAATTGAATTGTTATAAATATTTAATGTTCACTATGCCTACGTCATGAAATGACTTTCGCTATTACTTAAACAATACGTACAATATACATGAATGAAGCTTTGGTGTTAAAAATATTGTAATCTTTAGATCCTTATATATATATATCGTATGTATTGGTGTTAATAACTACAAGGCCAATAAACATTATACATGTATAGTACCTATGACTATAATAGAAGACTTACAGTTAAGTCATTGTTTATGATTATGTTGAGTAATATTATAATTCATAGGTAGGTACCAATATATATAATATTTATAGCAGTTGACGTACACACTTACAGTTGTCTATTAGCAGCAAACTGTAGAGGGTTGAGAATTGTGATACTGCATTTGAAAGCGTTGATAAACCGTCGCAAAAAAAGTAATTTTTATTTTTTTATTTAAGCTACCAATATAAAATTATTAAAAAAGTAATTTATTGACGGAAACACTTACGAAATAAATAAGTAGGTAATATTTATTTTTTAATCGTATAAACCTATACAATAGCTACATATAGCCCATTTGGCTGCTGTTTTTCCCAAATTGCTCTATTTGTACGTAGGTAAAGGTAATTCCTAAAATACTCTTGTTTTTGAAAACACAAATTTCTTTCCACTTTATACAAACTGTCTCAAAAGAGATGTGGTTCAAAATGTGTTGGTATTTATGCTAAGAAAATTATACAATTGGCGTTGTACAAAAAATTCATATATCTACGTTTTATAATTTATAAATCATAAATTGAAAATGGGTTGGGTTTTTTAAAATTTGTATTCAAAGTAAATTTAAAAAACATAATCATTCAATTAGTACATTTTGTCTGCAGCCTTGTACGTTTAGTGACTTAATTATAAATGCTAACATAAACGGTGAAAATTTTAAGTGTCTTCGATTAGTTAGTTATTTTATTAATTATTAGTTGCATAAAAAAAACTTAATCAATTTTGTCAAAAATGTCAGTCTTTTCTTTAATTTTTTTTTCGTTTTCCCCACGCCTTTGACAATTAGGTACAGAGAATTTTCAACTTTGACCAAAAGTACTAATTATAGATTCACTTTCCCATCAAAAAATTAGTGCTGAAGTTGAAGATCGAAGTATTATTTCTACTACAAAAATCGATTGCACAGAAAAAAAACACTCGTCATTGTAAAATTTGTACATTGATCTCTCCGCTCAGCATCTAAAATATGTGACTACGCAATTAGTATGCACTGGCCACTGATCTATGGGCTGCGAGTGTTTAATAGAGAATGAATCTATTTGACAATTTTTGATTATTCTAGGTATGCTATTTTATTGATAAGTAGTTAATAGTTTTGTGGAGTACCTAGTTAGTAGGGCTTGGTAATTCATAGTTTTTGTTATTAAAATAAAATAATATTTGGTTTTTAAATTTCTTCTTCAAATTTCTTCATCTTTATATTAGGTATATGAAAAGTTATAGTTGATACAGACGTTAATCGAATTCGACGAATTTTCGTTTCCAAGCAGTGATTTTAACTTGCATTTTCCTTTATCGGCATTCATATATGTACCTGTAGAATATACCTAATGGCTAATAAAGTAATACCTATATGGCTTCATATATACATAACAAATACATCGATGTTTATAAGTAGGTACCTATCTAACCTGACTGCAGCATCGGATGTCTCCTAGTCTTCTATATAGATACCTACACTCCTAGATATACTTTAAAAACATATATACATCATAAACATTATATATATACAGTTCTCTATTCGCAGTCCTTCACGCGGGGGCGTTAAGGTCCATTCGTATATTGTATGTATAAATATGTATACCCATACAGTCTTATATAGATCCGTGACCTGATTCGTGGCCCCAGCGCGCATATAATATTATGTATATAGTGACATAAATTTATTCCGTCGTGTGCGCATTGTCCATAGACATCGTAGCAGCGATTGTGAAGATTGCGCAGAAAACTAAATGCGCGCTCTGATGTCACTCTATATTTATTATTATATATCGTGTGCGGTATAGTTATAGCTGGTACATTACGTACCGACTGCTGCTGCCTACTCCAGATTTATCTGCAACTATACACATAATAATTAATAGGTATATAGTGGCAAAATATATAATAGAAATTGTGTAGATATGTATATAGCGCGTGTACATATTATATATATTTATTAATCGCGTGTGTACACAATCGAAATACACAGTACACGCGTGGTTCAAGGGCAGTTTATGTAGCTCATACCTCACAACAACAATAATAATATTATTATAATATTGTTGTACATTATTGTTTATTATTATTATTATTATTATTATTATTATCATCATCATTACTGTTGCAGCATGTATATATATATATATATATATAACAGTACTTATACCGGTTTTTCTTCGTTTTTCGTGAAAAGGGAAAGGGAAGGTATTTTTTATATGCACACCTATGTAATATATTGTATACTGTATAGGTACAAATCCAAAACTTAATTATATTATTATATTGCACCAACCAATGCTCCGCGGGAGAAAAAAAAACGCTGTATAGTACAATATATGATGTATATAGGCATATGATGAACACGTTGGGGGTGCCTCGCTCGGTCTCTCGCACACGCTCACATAATATATGAACGACACACACACACACACTGTGCAGAGACAGCGTTTGTGTGTGTCTGTTTATTGTGTATTATTTGTATATACATGTATATAAATTCGTGTCTTACAGAAAACGATACATATATAACACACACATATATAACACACATATATATATATATATAAGCACCCGATATTCCTCAACTAGTCTCAATAACAGAATGGCAAGTGACGCGACACCCAGACGCTCGTCGTGTTATCTTGTATAAGAAAATTAAATCGCATACCTATACGCATATTATATAGGTACTGCCATTAAATATTTGACCGGTCGGTCTTTTGCAACAGTCGCCGTTACAAAAATGGACTTGCGATTGAATTTCGTCTTCAACATTTTAACAGTGAGTGATTATTTAAAGATATTATTATTGTATGTGTAGTGTTCGATTTCAAATTTGTGCAATAGATATGATTACATATTGTAGAATACAGGCACAACTATTCCACAAATGTTTTGGGTGCTAAAATTATTGAAGGCTTAGGATACAAATTATCTTATTACTTTATTCACAGTATACTTTTATTAATAATATTAATAAATTAGACAAACAAAAGATTAATAATAAGTAGTTTGGTGGGTGCCTACACCTAAATATATATATATTAAAGCAATTCTACTTCAGTTGAAAATTTTAAAGTCATATCTTAAGTTTATAATTGTTTTTGTAAAAAGTTTTAAAACCATTCGTATGCCATATTAGAGAAATCAGTGTATAGGGGTTTATAGCCTATAGGTTGGATCCACACGAGACCCTCCCTGAAAGTTCTAACTATAGATCTTAACCCCTTTATATAGGCCCTTTCAAAGTTACAAATATATAATTCCCAAAAATTCTCATCATTTTAAAATGTAGGTACTTTTAATAATTTTTAAATCAAAATGCTTTACAAAAGAATATTTTGAGCTGAAAATTAAATTCGTACGATTTTACAAACTTATCATCAGTTATTTAAAGTATGGTCAATGAAAACGAGCATCCTTACGAGCAGTTTATCAGCCGTCATCCAAGTTGTGCCAACCGTTGTTTCGTTGAAAATACCTAATAATATACCATTTTTAACTACCTACCTAATTTTTTTTTTTTTTTTTTTTTACAAGAAATATACAATCTATACAGATAAGCACAATAAGTATATGTGAGATAGGGGTAACAAAGCATTAAGGGGTTACGTGAGTAAGAAGCCACCCAGCGGTAGTACTTAGCTTGTTTATTATGTGATTATTATAACTTATTAGGATTAGGTTAGATGATCAGGGTCATTTGCTTTAATTAGTTGGTATCCAGGTATGAAGATATGTGTATATTTAGTGAAGTGTGTTTCTGTGATAAGGGCGATGTCGATACGTTTATCATATAATACATTTTGTAAAATATTTACATGGTTTTTAAGACCATTAGCATTAAATTGTAAAACTAGGAGGGACTTATTTGTAGCAGAATTATTCATTTTTTTTTGTCAATAAGCTTGAGATTACCTGAGTAAGTAGTGAGATTAATGGATTGATGAGAGTTTTAAGCTCGCTTACAAAGCTTGCCATTAGCGAATTAATATCGGGAGTAGGCAGAGGAATATTAGATTGTGGATGTTGACCTTGAGTTGCCTGAGCATACGTTTGAGGTTGGCTAGGAGGAGGATTGTTGGAAGTGGTATTGCGTGGGTGGCTATCTTGTACATTGTTAGGCTTATGACTAGAGTTTACATGTAATTTTTGATTATTTAGGTTGGTTTTCTTACGTTGCTGGAGGTTTTTGTAAACTGTGCATCCCCTGTAGTTTGCAGGGTGGTTACCTGTGCAGAGGGCGCATCGCATTGGGTCTTGACGTGAATTTGGACAGGCAGATGAAGAATGGTCATCACCGCACCGGACACAACGAGGACTATATCCGCAGTAGGCTTTGGTATGACCATAAGCTTGACAGTTCTGGCATTGACTAATAATTTTAGGCTTGTGAGGTTCTTCTATTTTTATTTTTGTGTGCAATAAGGATTCAAGTTTAAAAATCTCATTTGAGTGATCTGTTGGCTCGAGGTCGACAAAAAATAATGGCAGGGGTATTTTGCTAATTCTGTGAATAACCTGCGTAACTTGTCTGACTTCATATAAGCGAAGTTCGAGTTCACTTTTGATCATTTCCGTTGGAGTGGATGGGTGCAAGTTACGAATAACTATACGCATGGGTTTATCTTCTTTTAGCTGGAATGTATGGAATTCAGCTTCCGCATCTCTTAAGTAGTGAACTAGTGTTCTATACGCTCCTGGATTGGTAGTTTGGATTTTTAAATGATCAGCCGTTGACTTGCAGATAAAATTATCGACACCTATTAATTCAATTAGTTTTGTACAAACACCAGGGAAGTCTTCTACGCCTCGTATGAAAATTGGAGGGGGTGGTTTAGAGTAAGTGAGAACTGGATCTGGATCAGCAATTGACTGTTTTTCCTGTGCAGTAGTTTCAAAAGTTTCTTCTGTAGATTCCGGTGGTTTTAATACATCAAATCGGTTAGGAGTCGCGAATAGTTTTTTGCTTACATGTTGAAGTAGATTTGGTGACGATGGTTCTGAACTGGACGTACTAGAGTGATTGCGTTTATCACTATTAACAGGTGTCTTCGGTGACCTGGGTTTAGGATTTGCATTTGAGGTCTTGTTATTAAGATTTGCATTATTTGTATTATTATGATTACGGCTGGTCATATTTAAATGTTTAACTGTAGAATGATAAGTTTTCACGGACTGCGAAGTCGATTAATTACGCCGAGTAGCGTATATTATTATAATATTATTATAATATTAATTATTATCGTAATCGCGTGGACAAAGGTCACCGCCGCGGCGATGCCTCGTAGTGAGATTAGGTATATTATATAACCATGCACTAAATACGTATACTTAGTAAACTTAAATCTATTTCCACAAATAAAGGCTGGTTTTGGCAGCTGGTAGACACTGGGGTCAGCAATTACACTAAGAACTGAGTCGTTTGATATAAAGAACGAAAAATTCCGACAAGTTTGAGCGACATTACATTAAACAAACGCGGAGGCATGAAAAACGTGTGCATTCAGCTTGGCTGTCCGCGCGTGACTGACCTACCTAATTAAAGATGATATTTTTTCAACTGAACTTAAAAAGAGCAAAATAATTAATTTCCCTTTATAAGGTATATACCTACTATAATAATACTATGTAAAATAAATGTAATTGATACATTTTTCAAAAATTGTTTAATCGTCTAACAAGGAGCAGCTCCTAAAATAGGTACCTTGATTTGCGCACAACATACTTAGATTAAATTTTATTCTTTGAATGACTTTATTTTATTCATTGGCATTATATTACTCGAAATTGGCTAATTTGATAAACACGCTTACTAATTTTATACCACACCCAATTTTAATGGTCAACTAGATCAAAATTGAAATATGAATATTAATAATAAAAATTATTTATATAATATTATTTATTATAATTTAGTACCTATACATACCTTTTTTTCAATTTATTTCTTACCTACCAATCAATTGTTATAATTTAAACCTTGAAATTGCTGTTGTTAAAAACGGGTTTATACTAACAACTTGAGAAGATGATAACTTCTTGGATGATTTGAAAACTGCAAATTTCCGAGGAGATCTACAAAAATATTTATGAACATCTACTAAAGTTAAATTGTTCAAAATAGATTCAACAACCTTTATCTTTTATAAATATTGAGAAGGATTTGACGAAAAAATAAATAATCAGGGCATAGTTGATGGTTTTTCAAATAAAAACCTATACATTGGACAGAAATAAACATGTTCTGAGTATTTATGTACCTATATTAAACTAAAGTTAAATTCAAATAAATTAAAATTTTTGACTTATAAGTTATAACAAAGAACAACATTTTTAAAATTTTTAAATATTATGACAGTAGATATACCTACGTACTATGTTTTTTTTGCTTCTTTTGTACCCACTACCCAGCTGTAAAATTATTATGATATTGTAATTTCGATACGAAGATCGTTCTGAACCCAAATAATCCGTCAATAAATAGGATAGGTAATAGTTGCATCTAAACAGTTTCGACCCAAATGCCGTAGAATGCACGGTAAACTGCGTAAACATACGAGCATGACGATGGAACAATGATAGGGTGGACTATATAGTTCCAAACCACATCCAAGAAAACGAAAAATGTCAAATTGCTTTTATTTTTCCAATTACATACTTTAATTGATAGGATAGATGTATATTTAGTATGATAATTATTAATTTCTGTAGCTCTAAATGGTTTTCTCACTTCAATTATTATTATTACTATTTTTGATCCTTAAGAAAATCCTGGCTGCTCCACTACTATATTACCACTATTTTATTGATTCAAAAAGATAGTAGATAATCTGATAATACATATTCAATGAAAATCAACGATATAGTAGTTTTTATTTTAATAACATTTTAAGGGTTGTACATGCCAATGAATAAAAACCTGGAATAGTTAAATTACATAAACAATTTAAAATTCATACCTATAATTACCTACAGTTTGAAAATTTAATAAAACCATAATATAAATTATAGCTGCAATATAATAATATTAAATTATGAAATTTTTTTTAAAACTATTTACCAAAGACTACTTACTACTTACTTGTAAATTGTAATAGGCACCATAATTATATGAATTGTACGGTAGGTATGTGCCTACTATAGGTAGATTACCTTTATATTATAATTATATTATGGAATATCTTACCATAGGTATTGTTGTATGTATGTACCATGATGACTAATGAGTATAGTTCAGTTATGATATTATAATAAATTATTAATGTTATAGCAAAAGGGACTTTAGGCTTATAGTAGTTAGAATAATTGTTAGTACGAGACACTAGGACACAAATACCTAGGCTAGGTTACACTAACACCGATCTATATTATATCAAATTAATAACTATTTTAAGTTATAAATTACAACATATTATATTTGTATCAAATTAACTATTTTTTTCAATTAGATAATATCTATTATGTATTTTTTAATTGAAAACATACCATCGTAGAATGTAGTATTATTGTTGTTGAAAATAATTAGTCATTTTGTCGGCACATCAAAACAAAAAATCGCAAATGACATTGAGAAATCTGAATTTAAAGTAAATTAACAATTAGTTCATGAACCCCTGACTTTAACACAAAAAAATGCATTATCATTATTTATTAATACTATCACACTAATAATATTAAACAATTGCTTAACTGTGTTTGCCTTAGGTGCTGCTAATTCAAGTCGTGTTTTCTAAATGCGATTTGAAAACCAAAACTTATAATTATTTCACCAAATCCTATTTGGATGGATTTCAAAGAAAAGAAAGACAAGCACCAATAGGTAAAGTAATAACTAATATTTTATATTGGTATAAAAACGGCTTAAACGCATACATATTAGGTGTGCTTATATTACTATACATATTATATTTTAATCTATAATTTGGAGCTGATAGTAATGAAGCAATAATTGTGAATTAGTAATTTATTAATATATGGATTGTCTGTCTCCTACTCCCGTCATCGTTTCAACTGGTATGAAATTTATTGTAGGTGTAGAAATTATTGTAAATCACGGATGTTTAGATCATACTATAGTAGCAAGTATAGACTACATCTATGTAGTAAATACAAAGGCAGTTTTACTCTAAGGGTTTTCAGAATTTCTGACTTAAATGTACTTACCCAGGTAGCGCCATTAATGTCTGCAAAGTACGAAAATTGTCGTACCCAACCGGCCAACCCTTCGGCAGTCACCAGAGGATGCTCTTCGGGACCGTTAAAAAGTTGCTCGTTTCTAATCATCTTTATCTTAGTCCGTTATTGTAGGTACTAGCTAAAAGGCCAGTGGCGAACGCAGAGGGGGGTTTTAGGGGCTTACCCCCCTCCGAAATGAATGTAGGTAATACAGTGTGAAGAGTATGACATTTATGAATATTTTAAATTTTTTTCAGCCCCCGCTTCCCGAAATTTTATCCTGCGTTCGCCCCTGCACAAAGCACTAGGTACCTAATGAGATTCATATGCATTCCTACAATTATGAATTTCAAAATGAAATGAAGTTACTCTTGTAGGAAATAATAACTTACAAATAAGCTTTATTTTGGAGGTATCTCTTTTTATGCAAATTTCAAATTTTGGAATTTATTACTTTAATTTACAATAATTGCCAATGTTATGCCTTTATAGATCCATCCCGTATGTATTTGCCACCAAAGATTGATTCTGTCGCATCTAGTGGTTTTGGAGGACAAATAGACGTGTCAAATAATTTTGGTGGAAATAACAATGGTTATGGAGAAGTTGAAAACGTCCAGGAGACATTTGCAAAAAGTCCAACAACAGATTTTAGTAGCTATGGTCTATCGACAAAAACCACTGACGGTGATGCGAGCGAAGTCCAGTCGACTCTAGGATCATTATATGATACCAGTACTTATATGTCAAATGGACCCGTTGGGTCATCATTAGACCAGAGCAATGGTCATCCTAATACGTCACCAGGAGGAAATAATTTTGGACAATTTTCAAATAAGAATAGTGATTATATTAGTGCTGTAAATTTACCAGGAACTAACAATAACTATGGTAGTTCATTGGGTACAACATCGATACCAACTAATAATGGTGTTGCTGCGCCAACCGCAACGGCGGAAGGTTACGGACAAAACGAGCTATTGAATACTGCCCAAAATCAAGGTCCGACTAAATATAATTACAATAGACCAACGGCAGCCAGTCAATTTGGTCAGAATCCAAGCACAGGTGGTTATCAGCATAGCCAACAAAGTACAGTTGAGAACACAGCAGGCGGTTATGGTAACGTAGATTTTATTTCATCAAAAGATTCGTTGCAAGATAATAATCGAATTGGTGGTCAGAACGGTCAAGGAAATAACGGAAATGTTGGTTCAAACAGAGGTCAACCATTTTCTATAGATAACAGTGGTTATGCTAACACAGCAACCAACTCGTACGGCCAAAAATATACAAGTGGTGAATATAGTCAAATTGAGAATGGAAATAAGCCTAACACACAGTTTAGCATAGAAAAGAGCATAGATATCTCAAACAATCCGTCCTCTATTGGTTCAGTAGGATTTCCAAGTTCAGTCCTAAACTTTCAAAAAGAAAATAATCCAAAAAGTAAAAGTACAACGCAGTCCAACAACGATATCAGTGGTGGAAATTATGGACAAAATAAGTTTCCCGATGACCTTGGTTTCCAAGCTGGAGGATATAACAAAGTGTCGTATTTCGGATATGGACAATACCCTAGTGAATCAAGTCAAGGTGTCTCAGCAACAACTCAATCGTATGGACAAAATGATTTTGTAAAACCAAACATCAATTCCAAGGATTTACCTTACTCTGGAGGATCTTTTAATCAACCGTTGCCAATTAATAGTGGATTTGAACAAGGTCCAAATAACGAGTACAATCAAAAGGTTTCAGGAATAAATAAAAACCAAGTTGGTGGTACTTCCATTGTTGACTCTCAAAGTCTCAATTCTATAGGAACCAGTAATGGAGTACAGTCATCAGGGGTAACATATCAGAATTTGTACAGCCCAAGTTCACTGGGGGTTCAAAGTTTCAATCAGGGACAGGGTTCTTTGAATTACGAGAATGGGTTTGATTTAAATCCACAAAATCAATTACAGAGTTCTAACAATTTTGAACAGTCGGGATCGCATTCAATTGGAAATAAAGAAAACTATGGTCAGATTTCTTCAGCGTATAAAGGATTTAATCAAGATCAACAAAACAATCAGCTACCCAATAGCTACGGACCGCCACCAGGACCTTCTCAATCGTTCATAAATGGAAGAAATCCCGCCCAAAGTCAATCGAATGATGGATATAACCAAGGTAGACCATCAAATGGCCCTAACAGTTTGGATCAAAGCCGTCCAAGTACGCCACAAGTATCAAACAACTATAGTAATTTTGAATATAGACCATCGTCTCTTAGTGGAAATGATTATGAGCAAAGTGGTTCAGTTCCACCCTTAAGTGGTAGATACCATCAAGGAAGTTCGTCAAACGAATTGAATGGTTTTGGACAAAACAGACAGGACATATCACAGGGAGGTAGATTAAATAACTATGGTCCAACAGGATCTCAGACATTACCTACAACTAGAAACAGCTTTACTCAAAATTCACCTACAAATGGAGCTCACCCTCAAGAAGCAAACCAAGGATCAACATTTTACGGAGAAAACGGTGTTAAGCCTAATTCTGTAAATAGAGAAAATATAGCTACAACTCAGTTAGGTTATAATCAAAATGGTTTGGCCTCACAGAGTTCTGGTCAGGAAAGTTCCAGTTCACCTCCAGGTTACGGACAAGGAACGAGGCCTTGCACTTCCAAAAATGGTGGAGATATTGGCCAAGGCAAAACAAGTACACTATCGCCAGCAGACCCTAGTTATGGAATTCGAAACCAAAAAAAACATTCTACGTTAGTTCCGAAAGGACAATTTCAAAATTCTAACTTACCAAGTTCAGGAAAGGGAGTACAAGACGTCTCTTCCAATGCTAACAATAATAGTAATAATTTTGGAGAACCAGGTTATAATTCATTTTCAAATTTTGCACCAGGAAATCAGCCCAACCAACCTATTGACCCAGGAACTAATAACTGTGATACGAGTAAACGTGGTGATGGCATGAATGAAGCAGTTTTCTCACCTATAAATACTGGTTACTAACAAATATTTCAAGTTTTTGTTACCTACTTTAAATAATAATTTAGTTATACTTGATAAATGCATATATTTTTTTGTAACATAAAACTATGAAGGTTAATTTTGACAATTTGTTTTCTATATTTTTTCTTATAATAAAACAATATATTATAATTCATATTGGCGATGCTTTGATTAATGTATTTGTTGATAATAATTATAAATCAAGGAACTGAATAATGAAAAAGAAATTTATACAATGAAAAACAGTAAGCTATGAATAGAACATAAAATAAAAAATTATTACAAACATTTTTTAAATTACTTACATGTTTCATTCTAAAAATTGTATCCAAGAGTTCCTGTTATTTTAAAAACTAAACAAATATAATGTAGGTTTTACAGTAAACACACTATGTTTATAGTGATTACACTATGATTAGGTTTATATTTTATGGATTTTAGATTTATTTAGTCAATTTTTTATGTTTAAGAAGTCGGTACAATTTTATGTTATCAATCTTACATTATGCACTTTATAATAACATTATGTACCTACTGCATTACATACTTTTATTTTCTAAAATTTATCTTATTATTCAGTAGCAAATTATCTTAAATATAATAAACGGTATTTAATTGACAATAAAAATAAAAATAATATTAAAAATAAAGTTCAATTAGCTACTTGAGAATTTTATAAAATAGCAGAAAATATTTGTGAGGATTTAATCTTTAACTTCAGGTGATAAACTAAAACTATTTTCATTCCGGACTTTTTTTTTATTTTTACGATCTTCCGAAGAACTAGAGCTTGATCTGCGATGGTTCTTCTTTTTCTTTTCAAAATGTTCTCTATCTCTAGAACGATTTCTTGGTTTTCCTTGTGTAAATCTATTGTTATGCCTATCATCTTTACGATACCTATTTCCATCTCTTTGCACTCGATCTCGACGAAAACTGTCATCATTACGACGTTTTGGTGAGCGGCTCCTCGAACGTCTATCAAACTTCTTGTCCATTTTTTGAATTTTTTCTCTATTTTCTCCTTTACTTTTTTTCTTAATATCACTTAAACGTTGGTCTGTTCTTTTGTGATCATGGTTATCTGAACCATTTTTCATGTTGCGATCACGTATTATTTGAAATACATCTTCAATTTTAGCCATCATGTCAATTTGGATTTTATCATTTTGTTCCTCAGAACCCTATAAAAATTAGATTAAAATTAAATGCAATAAAACCTTTTTTTAATTAAAAAGGTTTATTTACCTTAGGAGGGGATCCTGGAGGTGTTTGTCCATTTTTACCTTTCTCGCGTTTTTCTTTTTCTTCATGTCTCTTTTTTCTGGCCTCTTCACGTCTTTTAATTTCTTCTTCTTTTTCTTTACGTTCAATCTCCATTTTCTAAAATTATATTAAATAATTATGACTTTGACAATTAATATTGAAATAATAAATTTTTTACTTACTTCAAATTCATTGAAAGTTATCATTTTTTTTTGTTCTTGTCTCCAATGGGGTGGAGTGTAACTTCTAGAACGACTACGAGATGGGGTTCGGAATCTGAGAGTTCCACGACCTTTAACAATCCGGCCAGATTTTGTAACACCGCGTATTCTGTTTCTTTTCTTTGATCTATCATCATTATCGCTTTGAGGTTTCATAAGAAACATAGATGAAGGACCACCTCGAGACAAAAATCTATTAGGTGGTCCAGCTGGTATTTCTTCCGGGTCAATATTAGAAACAGATACAAGAGGGTGTAGCTGACCTTCTGCTTCAGCATCATCATCTTCCTCTTTTGAACGATCCAATCTAGAACAAATAAATTAAATTAAATTTAGAATATAATAAAACTATACAATCATACTTCTTTTCTGTTCTTTTTTTTGATTCTTTTTCCTTCTTCTTTTTTTTTCGTTTTCTTTTTTTGTCATCATCTGATCCTGAACTTGTTTCACTATCAGATGCACTTTTCACGGATTCTATTATATTAATACATACAACAACATGATCATTTTTAAATATATTTTGTTATTATGAAAAAAAACAATCAATAAACATACGTTTAATTTTAGACTTCAAAATAAGCTCTCCACATTTCACCACCTTTGCATCCTGAAGTGGGCGTGAATTTTTGTCAACTCCGAGTTCTTCTATCTGCATAACAACCGGCTGGCCAGAAACCACTCTTCCAAATACCACGTGTATACTATTTTAAAATAATTTATTAATACTTTAATCATAATATTTATAATTGGCTAACAGAATTTCACTTACCCATCTAGGTGAGGAGTTGGTTGTGTTGTTCTACAACAAACACATGACATACGACCAAAATTTTATTAGGCTATTCTGACATACTGATCCCATCAACACATTTTCAAATTACAAAATCAAAATTACATTAGTAAACATCTATTATTTTTCCTAGAGTGGACGATCTATGAAGTGAATAATATAAATGTTCATATTTATGTCACTAACAATTAATTTTTTTAATTTCAATTTTTAGTTGAAGAAAAATGTATAAACTACATAAGAAATAAACGGTTTGGTTTCTACTTTATATTTTTTTTTAATATATTCAAACATAATCTTTGCCAAATTTATAGGTACTATTAGTTTTCACATTAAAATTATTTCAGTTTGTTGAACATTTATAATTGAAAATGATAAGTTTAGGTTTTAAAAGTTGAACAACTTTTAAAAATTTGAAACAAGAAAAAATTGCTTTAAAATTAGAAAAAAAATGTAATTGGATGAAAATATAGAAGCTGATAATTCTTACTAGTTTCAAACCTTTTAAAAAATATTGAACTATTTCAAATTATTACCAACAATTAAATGTTTACCAAATATAATAATAATTATGTTTTAATAATAACTTATATAATTATTATTAATGATTAACTATCAACTGTTTTCAATGTTTAAATGTGTGTGACATACATTCTACTATACCCATAGGTATAGAAAATTAAATACATTTTAACAATTATAATTATCATTTTCACATTTTCACTTCCTGAAATGTTTTAATAATTATTTATTCATAAGCGATTAATTATAATTTGTAATCATATGACAAATATGTCACAAAAAGTTTTAATATATATTTCTTAAGACTTACATAAAAAATTGAGAACCATTTGTATCTGGTCCCCGATTAGCCATTGAAAGTAAAAAAGGTTGGTCATGTTTCAAATCAAAGTTTTCATCTAGAAACGGAAATAAAACATGCTATATAACAATTCTTAATACATTTATATTACTTTAAATGCATACCCGGAAAAGTTCCTCCAAATATAGATTCACCACCTGTACCATTTCCAGTTGAAAAATCTCCACATTGTACCATGAACGATTTTACAACTCGATGAAAAATTACACCTTGGAAATGCAAAGGTTTACCAGTAGTTTTACCCAAACCTTTTTCACCTGTACACAATGCTCGGAAATTTTCACAAGTCAGTGGGCAAAAATCATCGAACAGTTCAAACACAATACGACCCAAAAGAATGTTATCAACAGCTACATCCATAAAACACCTAGGGCGAACATGTGTTTTAACTAATTCAGTGTCAACCCCCATTTTGAGTACTAAACCTGAAAAAAAAATCAAGATTATCTAACAACTAAATATAATTATTTACAGTAGGTTAACAATTTGAATTTAAATATGATAATGATACAACATTTATTTTATCTTTTTTGATACAATTTTAATTATAACCTTGTGACACACGGAATAAAAATGATATATATTGTGAAATAGAACAATATAGAAATGTGTTTTTAAGTCCTGGACATTTTTTTATAATTAGGAATATGCTGGGGAATATGTTAAAAGCAAAAAAAAAAAACATTTTTGTAACTGCTTAAGAGTAAATGTAAGTAATTATAATAACTGTAAGCCAATAATTGTATAGGTTATCTATAGTAGGTATAAAAATATTATAAAAAAAAAGTATTTTAAATATTATTTATTTTCTAACTTTTTACTGTACACCACTTAAAAACATATTAGTAAGAAATGGTTAAACTAATAGACTAGATTCAACCAAATTTAATACTACTGTAGTACTGTCATTAATCTAAAGCGAGATTTAAATAATGAATATCTACCTATTTAAAAATTAAATACTAAACTGATTAATGAAAATGTTTTTTTTCTTCTAACAGATAATTACCATAACAAATTATAATCAAATTTTATTAAAATAATAACAGTTAAATACAGACAATACCGCCAAACTGTGTAAACAAGTCACAGGCAACCCGCAGCCTAACCCGTGCAACAAATAAGAGTTGTTTGAGAAAACTCAATAGATACCGACCAATTGGCAACAATGAAAGCAACAAAAACTACTGAACAACAAACGCACGATCATTGAACAATACGATTTACGCAAAAACTCAATAACAAAATACATTAGTATTTAATATCCAGACGCGCGTAAACCGAATAGATGGGGGAAAATTACAATTATTATTATATGTATTACTGTTAACGTCTTTCCAAAAATGTAGGTTTGCATCATGTACGGCTACTATGACGACGAGATTCGACGAATAAAGAAACGATGGCAAATACTTACACGATGTGCTGGTGATTCTAAAATCCAAATAATTTGTAATTCTTCGTGTGTTACAATCTAGAATAAGTTGATCCTTGATACTATAGACTTATATTCGACTAAGACGGTTGGAAATGATAATTGTAAATAATCAAAAAATGAATAGTAACACAGAGGCGACAACACGTTCCAAAAAGAAAACACGGACATAGGTACACGAGTGACATGGTCCCGAACAGCGGGCCTTTTTATCAAAGAAAAACAATAACGGGTCTAATACTAGTGTCCCAAACGACATAGAGTCACGACATCCAGTCACGACACACATTTATGCTATTGTAACAACTTACGAGAACAGTGGGGAGTTCTAAATTTATAATTGTCAAGTCTTTTCCCCGGCGAATAAAATTTAATTGACATTTTAGAATCATAAAACCTAAAAAATTCAAATTTAAAATGCCTATAATTAACTCAAAACGAGTCAAAATATGCTGAACATTTCATCATTTACAGAAAATAATAAAATATGAATTTGATGAAAATTTAAAATACCTACCGGCTACCGTAAATAGTTTTTGGATCGTAACAAAATACAAAAATCGTTATAAGAGAATTTGTTAATCTTTAGGTGAATATCCAATGTTTAACTTCAGACGTTCATAAAAAAATAAAAAATTATTGTGAATTTACGCTCAACTTTTTTTTAGTATCCACTAATACCAACTTATGAGGAACGTTGCATTACATTTTCAATTTTTCTGACCGAGCGAATATTTTTTTTCGACATAGTTAAAAAAACTCAACATTTTCTTATGCCTATAAATAGCTAAAAAAGAATTGCAAAATTTCAATATTTGCTCTTCAGCTTGTATGGTGCATAGAAATTGTTGTTATACATTTTCAGTGCTACGGTTATTTTGTTTAGTTACACAAAAAAACAAAACCGATTTTTTCGAATAGGTAGTACCTACTGGTGGAAAAACACTTCATTGCTTCGCTCAGAATCTAAATTTATGAATACTTATAAATATTATTTTACTCATTGCTTGTCTAGTAGTATAATATATATGGTTCTACTATTTTCTTGCCATTTACTAGATTTTTACACTCATTGGCCTATCAGGATCGTCCTTTTGTATACCAGATAATCTTAATTATAGTAATTACAAATTTACCTCATTGTCTTTTATACACTAAAAGATAAAATTGTTTGTATAATAACTTTTAATCATACGTTTGTTTAATAATTATTGTTAGTTGCACATTTTGTAGAAAGTAATACATGACTAATAATGCTAATTAGTTATATTAGTTATTAGATAAAGTAGGTAATATTAATATTCTACATTTGCCAATTTAATTTATGACTACGTTAACAAAAGTCAAAAATAATATCATCTTAATAAATTTTTCCGCAGACGAAAATTTAACAATATAATGTAACTATTGGTAATAGGTGATTATTTGTTTAAATAATACATAATTCTGTCTTTAAGATGTTTAGGTTGGATGTGTGGTATGGATGGAGTAAATGTGTTTATGGAACATTCAACATAAAATATTATTACATAACATTTAAATATTTAATACAAGTTGATTACTTTTAAACTAGTCAAGAATTAATAAACAATTTAATATATTAGAAATTGTTGAACTTCATTATGTTAAAACCTAGGTAAAATTAATCAACGTGAAATACAAATAGTGAATCTTATAATTTATTCAAAAACTGCTTTAGTAATATATTAAGCCATAATGATTAATTGCTAAATAAAGAAATTAATCAAATTAAAAATAAAATGTATGAACACACCACGGTTATGAGTAAAACAAATGATGAACATTTAACAAAATATATGAGCATAACAATTGTATTAAACTGTATTTCTGCATAACTGTAATGTGTGAAAAAATTTTATTATTTTATTAATATATATTTAAACTCAATATATCGTTGTGACTTGTGAGCATAAATTAGTTAAATAATTTTTTTATGATTTACCTTTATAGCATAAAAAGTTCAATTAAATGGTAAAAAAAATGTAGTTCAATTGTTGAGTTTATTTAACAATTATTAATATTATCGATTTCAATACAAACATCAAATTTTTAATATTTAATTGTTGTATACATGAATTATATAATAGTAATAATATAATATATTATTTATATAAAATATAAAACAGAGATGTTTATAAGATTTAGCTTTAGCAAAATTTGTAATCTATAAAATAAAAATAAAAGGTTTTAACAATGCTTAAAATCCTTAACAAATGATTGATAACTAATCAAGCCTGTGTTTGATTATGTACTATCACATTATGTAAGTTAGTAAAAAAATGTTCCATGGTTTAAAATAAATCATTTGACACTGTATGACATATTTCACACGCACACATATATTATATAGATCACATCACTATCTTAAAAAATACATATAAGACAAAATAATTTTATACAATCTTTTATTATTATTATATTATTATAATATGTTTTTAAAATAAACAAATAAAAACTTGTTTAAAGTGTAATTTTAAAAATATGATTTCTTCAACTAAATATAATTTTTTAAGACAATTTGGATACATAAGCACATTAATTTTCAGTATAACCAGTCTTCACACTGAATTAATATTATGACAGAATCCTAAAACAACTAAAGTTTAAAAAAAAATGTATGAACAGACAATGGACAATCTTAAATGTAAATGAAATATTGGAACAATAGTTTTAGAATATTTTGTTAAACACAAACAACATAAATTATAATAATAAACCATATTTTGTATCAAACTACACTGGTATAGTTTTGACATTTTTTAAAAATTTTAATTATTGCTTTCTACTTTTTCAGTGTCTGAAGTCTCATTTTCAACTTGTGTAGTTTCAGTTGAATTTCCAGATGATTCATCAACTGTCAATTCTTCTTGGGGTTGAGGTGCTTTGATTTCTAAGATGGAAATTGTATCCTGGATAGTTTTAATTGCTTTTTTTCTAGCCATACGTACATCGTCTCTTCCTGTAAAATAAATTACAGATAAGTGATTAACATTTTTTATTAAGTGTCTAGATATATTTGAACTTAAAACAGTATAAACAACGAAAACTTAAGGGTATTTGAGAATGGATGAAACAGTTAATTTATAACTTTATCAAATTTGAATAATTATTACCCAGCTATAATGTATTACTACGATTTACATATATTATAAGGTTGGATTTTTTAGGCTAAATAAATAAATACATCATATGTTACTGATACCATAAAAAATCAAATTAATCAGACTTAAAACTAATATATTAAAGAAATAGATAATAACTAGAAAATATATATAATGTATGGATATGATATCAATATAATAGCATTGCTAATTGATACATGGTCATCTATTAAATATAATATTTAATCAATAATGTGACGATTCAATTCAATTAAAATTTATATTATTACCATAGCCTATAATATATTACCTTCAGTTTCAATGGTATCTAACTTAATCAAATTTCTTGTAAGCATCTCATCCAAATAAATATATTGCTTATCGGTACGCAAAGAACCGGAAAATTGATTAACAGCTACAGCTAATTCTTCAACATCAGCTTGAACGATTTGCACTTTTTCCAAAGCATCTACTGGTTTTACTTGTTGGCGCGGAGTGGGTGGAGGGGTGGATCTCGTTTCATGCGGAGGAGTTTGCTGACGATGTTGGGAAGGAGGAGTTTGACGGCGTTGTGCAGTATTTTGGTCATGGAAGGAATGATGTTGTGCAAATGGAGTCTGTTTACCAGCAGATCGTTTTGGCAAAGTTGAACTGTTATTTTCATTACATTTTTGATCAACATTCTTTGGATACACTGGTTCAGAGCGGCCTTCCACATAAATTGGAATGTGTCGCACATTAGGTTGTTTTTGTGTTCCATGGGATGGTGTAGATGCATCAGTTTGAGGTTGCATTTGTGGTTGAGTATTTTCAGATTGATTATTAATAGGGTTTACTGGTGTAAATTCTAGTTTAGATACAAATCTTTGAGGTTTATCATCATTTTCCTGAGATCTTGAATTATTTTCAAACGGATGCTGTTGTTGCTTATCCATGTTTTCTTCAAATCGTTTTTTATCAGGACTAGATTCAGTGCGCTCGCTGTAATTGTGATTGAGATCTGATGGTCCCTCAGGTGAGTTATCTTCTCCAGACACAGTGCGTTTACGGTTCCAACTCTTTGAGCTAGGTTCACCTCCCCAAGGCGGACAACGCAAATGACCCGCGAGATCTGGATGTCTTTTAGCTAAATCTTCTAAATGTGAACGGACACTCAAATGACCTCTTAGCATGTCATCATCAAATGGAAATTCTTCCTATAAAATAAAATATTTTTTAAAAATATATACATGTAAGACTCATGTGACACCCCTGTTACTAAGGAATACGGCCAAAATATAATATTTATAAATTTATTTGTTTTCTCAAATGCAATTCACTAATAATAAAAAATTTTGGACTAGTTTATATTTTTAAGTAACAACAGTAATTAAATACTACGGAATTCTGTATAGATAAAATAAAATGTGTAAAATATAATTATATTTGACAGTTCAAGAGATCATTAATTATGAAGAAATGAATGTCAACCACATATTATATATTATATTTTATTCCCACTTATCTGTTTACACAGGAATGATTTTTCGCACATTGAGGTAACAACGAACGCCTATGTGTGGGAGAGAAGACCATGAAGATCAGTTTAAATTACAACAACAAGCCACGACAGACAATGCAATAGATTTACAAACAGGCAAATTAATAAAAAAAATTGCACTAGTTTTTAATCGTGCAAGTTGTTATACTGATTTAAAAATGTCGTAATAGGTTTTAAAAATATAACAAATTTCATTTATTTTTGGATTTAATAAAACTGGCTCTTCGGTGACCATGAAATAACTAAATAATATTTAAATAAAAAATAATTTTGATGCATTACTTTCAAGTTAAAATTACTAAAATGAGATCATTTGAGTTTGCTTTTTAGTCATTGGTGATATTTTGTATAAGACAGTAATTGCACAATCAGACGTATTCATTACAATCTAATGACTAATTTATCGAATAGTAAAAAAAGAATAAATTATACATGTGTATATACTATATAGTATTCTTACTCTGGACTACGGTATAGAGTGCCCACTAAAGAAAATTAACCTGATTATATGAACATTTAACAGACATAATAAGTAATACTACTAAATTATAAAATACTTATTATTCTACTCCAAAATCACGATTTTACGGTTGGAAATTTTTATATCATCGATAGTAATGTTACAAAACATTAAACAAGTAGTGTCGGCCGTCGAGGGATTACATGAAATAGAAACACAGCCAAGATTACGATGATGGGACCCAGGCCAATAATATGTTGCTAAAAATAAAAAACAAAACCCATTACATATTCGTCTACCGAAGCACTAGAACAATAATTAAGAAATTAAGTCGGGCTAAATACACATAATTCACTATTTGAATTCGTAAATTACCTGAGTACAAAAAAGATATAAAAAAAGAAGTACATACTAAATAGATTTTTTTCCACTTGATACAAGATAAAAAAAAATTGTATAGTAAATTAAAATAAAGTGATCAAATATCAAAATTATTCATCAATGACTTTTTTTTTTTATTAGCTTCGAGTATAAAACTTAGAGTTGGAAAATGCATCAATGATTATTAATTACAAATGTTTTAAATAGTTATAACATATTATGCTATTAGGTACCTAATAGATTCTATGTTCCAAAGCGCAAATAGAGAACAAAAAATTTGATATTGGAATATGCGTACAATGTACATTCTAGCTAAAACATGTAAGAATTATAGCAAAAAAAAATAAATAGAAGGTATCTGTATCTTACTATCTTCCTAACAGTCTTCATTAAAACAATAAGCATAGTTATGGGTTCAGTCTTATTAATAAAATATAAATAAATAGGTACATATCAAAATACAATCATCTATATATAAATTACACCATAATAGGTAATGTCACTATATATAAATGTATTATTAACAAGTATTTTAAGCCCTTAGGCAAAATAGTATACTATATTTTGTTTTACATAATTGATAGTATAATATTTTATTATACATAGTTCTGAGTTTCTGACCGAGCTAATAATCTAGGTAATTCAGCTAGAAAATAATTTATCGCTCTCAAATTGTCGTACAATATATAAATATAAATACAAATAAAAAAATTAAAAGATCTGACATAAATTATCAGCATAAAATTAAATAATTATAGGTACACGTTATTTAGCTACTTTTAAAGTTATTTGCGACTTACAATATGGTAGTCGGGATCATAAAATGATTACGAAACGTTGTTCTAAACAGAGAGTTGGAATGAAATATTAGGACTATGAGTTATGAATATTTTATATTTGTTAAAACACAACAATTTTAAATTTAAAACGCAAGCTAAATATTTCAAATATTTTAGAAATCTTTTAAAATCCATAAATTGACAATTATTATCCAAAAGTGATTACTATAATCATTATAATTGATTATACGAATTACTATTTATAACAAAATGCATAAGAAAATAAATAATAATTATTTGTGGGTTTTCGGAATTTCCAACAAAACACAATTAATAGAAAATATTTAAAATGATGAATTCAATAACAGTGAAGGTGATTTAAACAATTGATAACATAAAATAATAACAAAAACAATAATTCTGAATATAACTAAAAAATATTTGTCTTGCATTTGAATGTTGAATTATAAAAATTGAAATGTACTTTGAAAACTGTATCAAAGAAAAATAAATCGTAGTTTTAGTAATTATTTCTTTTGAATGTGTGATCACAAATTAATTTTGTTATTTTAAATTCAGTAAGGTATTAATTTTAATTGTCGATATCCCAAAACCATAATTTTTATACTTTCTAGTTTCAACATCACATATTCACATAAAAATCAATATGAATATAATAATAATTCTAGCCTAACCTTTGGTGTATCCAGTGACCAGTATACACTTATACTAGGAAGTTATACCCGCATGTGCTGTCTCCGTCTTACAAGAGCGTACCATATCGAATTTAACGTTCAGCAGATCAAGTTTAGCTCGGTAAGGTTAAAAATTAGAGTGAATTGACCTCCTATTAAAATTAAAGGTAAGATTATTACAGAGGGATTCTCGAGGGCCTTTTATTATATTTTAATTTTAAAGAGAGTTATGAGTATTTTAACTTTCTTTAAAATTAAAATATGATAAAAAGTCCACGAGATACCCTCCATAATAATCTTACCTTTAATTTTAATAAGAGGTCAATTCACTCTATTTTTTAAACTGACGGAGCTAAACGTGATCTTCTGAGCTTAAAATTTGGTATGTTACGCATTTCTACGACGGAGACAACACATGCGGGTATAACGTCGTCTTAAGAGGATGTCAGAGCACTGTTTGTTTTCCCTCTGTAACCCAAGTGCAATTAACACAAAACGCATTTACGAAAATTCATTTTTGTATGTTTTTGAGTAATCTTAAAGTAAAATTACCTATTACAAAAATGATAGAGAGTAAAAATGTTGATGGTACCACTTATTGATCTGTCTAAATATTGTCTCAAAACAATTTAAACATCCAAAATATAAAACCGACATGTCAGTCATATCCTTAAAAATATTATCTACTAAAATGTTTGTAATAGGTAGGTGATTTTATTTTAAGATTACTCAAGAATCATAAAAACAATTTTAGGTGTGTACCTATGTTGCTCGTAGGTCTGAGAGAGAAACAAATATTGCGCTAACACATCCTCTTCATATTTAAGCTGTACGTTTTTTTCAACAAACACTGACAATTTCAAATATCATATAAGTACAAATTATCTATTTTTGACATTGGCATTTAGTCATTCAGCAATCAACAAATACTAGTAAAACTTAAAATACAAATAAAGATATTCTAGTTAAATAATTCAATTAACGTTCACAGCTTGTTACTTGAGTATTCAACCATGAAACACTTGTTAAGTCTAAAATTATTTTATTTTTATCCACAGTAATTTAAACACTTTTTTGGTGAACTGATAACTGATACAAATTAATTATCTGTCAAATATTTCATTTTTGGGGTGATTATGTATCTGTTTTCCGACCAATCGGCAATATTTTTTGAGTTATTAGTCATTATAATTAAAATAGGACAAGACCTAACCTAACCTTTAGAAACAAAAAAAAATTTTTGATTCAATTATTTAAAACTTAAAAATAAAAAAAATATGATAAATTTCAATAAAGATAATAATAGCAATAACAATATTATAATTTAAATTCATGTATATAATCAGCGCTGCAATTAGCGAGGATGCTGGGAGTGCACCTCACCCCCAAAAGGGCCCCATTATTATATTTAGGGGCCAATTTCAAACATAAAGGATTTAAATAGGGGGCCCAAAATTTAACTCGCACCTTGGCCCATTCATTTCAAGTTGCAGCACTGGATATAATCTTAATTGAAATGTATCGTACTTAAAATTTCAGAAAGGGTTTGTACGATCAAAATTTGATTTAATGGTTCTACATGTTAAAATATGTACATAGGAAGTTGGAGAAAATATTAGCCTGATGAGACCTGTCTTAGTTGTGTAATTGCTCAAACCAACCATACTCTGCCCAGCATGAGAAAGCATATATATATCTGGTGATGTATACACTATACATCCCCAGGTGAGACTTTGAAAAAGTGGAACTGGCCTCGATAGATGGGTGAAGCGCAAAAGAAATTTTCTTCAGGTCGCTGCATTTTCTAGCGTTTGACAGAGTATACTGATTACTGATTACTATCAAATTGAGCGATAAATATTGAAATATTAACCAAAGACTAGACACAATGGGCAGTCCACAAAACAATTATATTGCCCAGTGCTGGTATAATTATCCTGTAGTGTGTGTAACCCTCTATAACTTGTAAGTCTGTAACCAAATTAATATAAGAGACAACACATACAATTTAATTATTTTTTGGAAAATAATAAGATGAATAATTTATTATCAGTTTAGTACATTATGCATTTCATTTACCTTCAGTAACTCATAAAATTTTACCTCTTCGGACGAATTAGTTAGGAACTATAAAGGTTCTCACTTACTAAAAGTACTAATACTTATCATATATCAACTGTCTAAAAGTTACTGTTGAACTTAAAATATCATATTTAACTGAAAACAATAATATAATGCGCACCCCAATTTACTTCCTTTAATAATGAATTTAATAAAATTCTGATTTTCAAATTTTTTTTAAATGATGATATAATTAGTTCAAAATTCAAATATGTAGTTTCTTAGTTATTCAAATGTTTACACTAAGTATAATAGTGCTTAAAAATAGTTTTGCAAAAATTAATAACTAAAATGTTCAAATTACCATAGCCCCCATAGTTAAATAACAGAAAAATTTCTCGTGATTTTAATAAATCAAATTTTCCTGAACTAAAAAAATCTAAAGAACTTGAAAATATGGTCTTTAAACATATTTAAAACTTCTAAAAATTAGATTCTGATTAACTGCATTATTGGAGAAAAAAGGGATTAAGCATGCTTGGTGAAACACCGTGTATATACTATTTACTTACCTGTTTCAAAAAATAGTTAATGGGTCAAAAATATTATAAAATGATGCTACATATACCAATTAAAAACACAATTGTTTTATATTATAAGTTTTTGTTTTAAGGAAGTCGATTATAATTTACATATTAGATAAATACATAAGTGGTAGGTAGTAATGATAGTCATCTATAGAAATAAAATTTTATTTTTGATGTATTACCTAGTACATTGTACTTAAATAGATCAAACTGTATTTATCATTTTATATTAAAAATACGGATTTTTAGGTAGGTATTTGTTGATTTTAATTACATCAATTTATTAATTAGGTATAACAAGTAAAAAATATTTAAGAAAATAAAGTTTTTAAAAAAAGTGCATCTATAAATTAAAAAGTCGATAGGTAAACTTAGGAATAAACTTTATCAATATTTAAGATATTTTAAAGTAATATGGCATAAAAATATACCATAATAATGTAATTAAATATATATTTTATAAGAAATATGAGTATAATAGTTTAGATAAAAAATACTCAAGGACAAAGTTACTTTATAATATATTTATTTGATGAATACTTTCTTCATCTTATAATTCAACCATGGATGAATATTTTCAAACTGTAATACAATTACAAATATGAAATAGATCTCCGGACCCTGATATAATAAATATTAATAACTTACCAATGTGGAACTATGAGAGGGTGATAAAGGATAAATGACAGGATTAATTTTGGCCGCTTCCATAACATCCAAAAACAGCAAAATATTTGTTACTCACTGAAGAAACACACAAAAAAAAAAACTTATCACACAACAAATACTGATTTATTAGACAAATAAAATTAAAGTTGTTAGTGTCAATACATATTTTTTTAAAGTAGCAATACACTGGAGAGTAGTAACAACTTCAAACAACAGTGACTATATGTTTATTTATAACAGATTAAAAAGCATTTTCATTTAAACACTATTATAAGCGTGTGGGCATAAAATTGTGTAGGCGATAGCCACACCAACTGCTCTAGAATATTCATCAATGAGGAATGCTAGATTTGTGTGTGCCAAATAAACCATAACCCAATTAAAATATGTCCTTAATTGAATAAAATAAATAATTGATTATCCTAAACTTAATTAATTTATATCAATGTAAAAATTACAAAATCAATAGAAAATCACCATGTCATATTAAAACAAAAATAATGTATAAATAATCATCGACAAATATTAAATGTTAGTTATACATTAATAAATAAGTTAACTTTTTAGAGAGAGGGTACCTACATAATAACTTTTATAGTCTTTACAATTTAAAAATATTAGAAATATAATGAATGTTTAACACCCTGTATCATTTTCTTATATAGAGTTATAAAAGGTTATTAACATAAATTAATTCTGCTGTACTAGTTTTCTATAAATTTTTATGGTTTGGTACTAAAATTATATTAATAGGTAAATTATATCATATTATAGAATTATAATAAAATATATGGTACTTAAAACACAATTTTTTCTAAGCATTTTGTTGAATGTGTATAGCAATATATATGTGTATGTCTATGGCAAACAAACAAAATAGCTTTTATTTTGCTATATCAAAATATGATGAAACAGCATAGAAATTCACAATAAATATTGAACCAAAAATTGAACATACTGGTTATATTTGCATAGACTACTGGATACAAATTTGTAGACAAACTATAATTTTCACAATCTTGTATAACAGTTTAACTTTAAACAAAAATAAGAGCACTTCACATACAATTTTGATTTACAAGCATTTAAAGTTTAAATGACAATCTGATTGCAGGTTTACTTTTCATACCAAATAAAAGAACATACTTATAATTACAGAAGTGGATTGAGAAGCTTAGAACATGTATAAAAATGTATTGCACCTTATAAATTGTATTTTGTTAATTTAGTTTTAACTAACTTTGCCTAATGATTAAATATACTAGCTTTATAGTAGGAACAATATTACATGATTAATTGATGTTAATTTTAGAATCATACTAGGTAGAACTATAAAGAAAATTAGAAAACATTGTCTACTAAACCATAAACTAAGATAGTAACTACCTATCTTAGATACTAGCTTTGTTCATGTTTTAAACTACAAAAGTTGATAGGTTAGGCTAGGTAAAGTTAATACAAAAATATTGTTACTATTACACACAGACGTTTATACAACAATTATAAGGTATAGTAGGAAAATCTGTGCTACTTATTACTAGTAACTTAGCCTTAATATGTTCATAGAATTATTTCCAAGAGCTATGTACTAAAAATTGGTACTTTTTTGTTTGTACAGATAAAAGTGGAATCATAAACAATAGAAAATAAAAATAAAAATTGTTGAGGTGGAAAAAAAAATAGTTAATACTTTCACTTGCATTCTACTAAGCTAATAATTGTTAGGTTATATATTTTTAAAAAGTTAAAAACTCAATATTAAACTGTTAACATAGGTACACAATAAATGCTCGTTAAGTAAATATTATAAAGTAATGATCCCATATTTCAAACCCTTAAATACCTCAAGTTTAATAGGTACCTGCCAATTAACCAAGTTAGAAACAAGGCATGGTACCTAGAATACTTATGATGATAACAAATTAATGCAATTTGAATACATGCAAATGTGTGTACAGAAGACAGACAATTTGTATCGAAAAAAATCATCGAGTGGGTGCATAGGTATAATATAGGCACCAATAACCAATATGAATTATTGAAATGAATATGATTTTTCAAGAATAAAATTGTATTGTTAATGTGTATAATTTTATTTCATTTATCATCGTATTTAAAAAAACTTTTCTGACACAGACACATAATAATATTGTGTACCCACTCTACTCAATAAGCTATAGCTCTACAGAATTAGAATTTGATGTATAAAATAAGCCAGCAAACAAACCATATCTACATAGGAACACCAAGATATATTGTATGCGAATATTAACGTACCCTTTGAGGAGAAGTTCTGGAGTCAGATTTGTCAAAAAACATGCTATTCCCGCCGGTGTTGCCGAACTCTCGGTTGATTTCTTCCAGAATTTCGTCCGTGGACTTGCCGCGAATGCGATCGCTCAACTTTGACTTGTTACGATCCCGACGATCAGCAAAAGGCATATTACTCTATACACTGCATCGATCGTGCCTGGGGCAATTTACGAGGAAATTTTAATGGACGAAAACTTGATTGGAACGGCTGAGGACGGAAAATCCGTGCAGACGATCGCCGGAAAAGGTCGAAAACGGGTTAGACTTTAACAGCGACTACAGGCGTCAGGCACAGCAATAAAAACGATAACGTCAGAGGGGTCAGCCTATAATTAAATAAGTAATAAAAATAATAATAAATAACGATGACCGCGAGAAAAAAAACACATCTGACGCGACCGTCAGACCAGCTGCAAATAAGACACGGAAAGTCGAAAACAATCAGTGAACAGTGATACAGACGTACAGCAGATATAGGTACTGATACGGCAAACAAATCTAGAAGATTCGAGTAAATCCGTGGGGTCAGCGGTGATTGGGGAACGTAAAAACGGCTGCGTCGTTTTCCCCCGCCAACGACAACAACGGACCAATGGAAATATGGAATTGTATGATAAGTGATAACAGATATTGAGAAATATAATTTTTCTGCAGAATATTTTCTTTTGTAAATGGCACGTCACTCACTATGTTAGCACACGGCATATTTTATGTGATATTTAGTATTTTAGTTTGTGGCATATGGTTAAAATTGTCTACTAGAGATAATAGTATAGGTCACACCGGTAAAGGTGAAACCAACCCTTCAGTCTCTACTCTCAACGTTTTTATTTCACTGGAGGGCACTAGTGCCGCGTACTTAGTATATTAAAATATGTTCTTCTACAGGACGTCGTGATTCCGTAAATTCCTCTAGTGAATTAAGATATTATTTTATATAATTAATTCGTGATTCCGTAGATCATACTAAATTATTTTTTATATAATGTATCTAGTCTATATTTATATTCTACATAGTATATATTATATAATATTATGATCTAGATTCTAGGGTGAATTCGCCCATGATGGAATAATCGCGATTCGCGATGATACGTTTGTTATAGATATCGTGAATCGTGAACTAAGTACTTAAGACTAGAGAGCCTTAAGATTTATATTTAATGTATTCTGTGATACCTATATATTATATTAAGGCTCTCTGCGTAGGATCATGTAGGACGTAGGCGTATGTAATTGGTTAGGTTCAAATGGTTCAATTGGTAATTACTTCCATGCTTTAAAGATATACCTTAGGAATTTAGGTTATGATATCTTAAATCGTAATTATCTAGAGGTAGAAAAGTTACAAAACAATAAAATTATGGTAAAATCTTAAATTCAGTGCTAGAATTGGTGTTTGAGTGTAGTTGGGATGCGGCGCAGGGGACGGAGCTCCTCTACTAGTTTTTTTTTGTGTCCCCCAACTATCTTTTAAAATTATGTTTGGCTTTACAACAAATCGTAAAATATAGTAAGCAATAATAAAACTAAGCATTAGTAGTTATTAATATCACCGGTATCCTTTTTTATTAAATAAAGTGTTTTTTTTAGCATTTTGCTTTTACAGAAGTAATAAATATAAAATATTTATTTTATATAAATTTAATACGTACCTATCGTACATTTATCTAATTGACAATTGAAACCTTAAAGTAAATATTATTTTAACCCTGAACTAAATTGTCTTCTTCGAGCTTTTTCATGCGTTACTTATTGATTTTCATAGGTTAAGTCTTAAGTACCTAAGCAATCGATTATTTACTATCGTTTAGTTTTTGAAATTACTTTTAACTATTTATCACGGACCAGAGGCTGCTCCAAGTGGGGGGGGGTTGCAGCTCCCCTTAAGCCCTTATTTCTATAAAAAATTATATATTTTTAAAAATAAAATTTAAAAAAAACTTTTAGTTAGGCCTCCCCCAAACCATTTTTTTATGCCACCTGTACCTGTTTCTTTAGTCTGTGCAATTTATGTTGATGCAGTCTACAGATATAGCCATTTTTATATGGCCTGGTGAAATTTCAAAATGACCTGTTTGGAACTTTACGCACCCGAAAAAATCTGAAATTACGCTCCTATAAATATCACTATAAAAATAAATATGTAAAACAGCAAAACTATAATAATTTTGAAGTCCGACCCTTGTGCTATAGTCAAGTTCATTTACCTATAACCATTCTATGGCCTCTTGGCTCTTTGGTAACTCGGTGTATGCCTATTTCCTACAGTCCTTTGCTCAAATAGTCTTTCAGGGCACGTTTTCACAATGAATCACGGTAGTGTGTTCAGTGCCATTTGAACAAGAGAGAACCACACCTCCATGTCCCGTCAAAATTCGGTTAATTGTTGTCCGTATTTTTTACTTGGTTAATTATAGTATGTATTCCTTTAAACTGACCAGGTTTAATAAAGAGTTCTTTATTTGTGACGTATGGCTTTGCCCATTCTTCGCAGTCTGCTCTAGACTTTTGTACCTAAATACTATTATTGGTTTCTCTTTTGACATCTATTATATATTAAGTTATCACTATAGTGATCCTTTGTTATTTCTTGATCTTATGGTCTTGACAATAGTTTCTTTTCTCCGAGTATAGGATTAAGCGAGTTTATTATTCTACGGGCGTCCTTGCCCATGGGCCATGGCCCTATGGGTTATGGCCGTATAGGCTGTAATATAGGTACAGGAGTCTCCGGGTTTTTGGCTCTCGCCTACCGCCACTCGTCCGTGCCTTAGCGCTGAGCGCTACTTACGGGCGAGGGTGGAGCTAGTGCGGTGACGCAGGCGCCGCCGGGCTAGGGTCTTCTGTGGAACACCGGCACCGGGCCCGAGGGCCCGTACCTTTCTTGAGGTCCGGGATGACTCAGTTAAGTGCCACCTGGGTACCAGACCTCCCACTAGGTGCAGTGGTTTGCTGTTCTACTATCGAGCGCTGGTCCCACAACCACCACGTTTCAGCCGAGTTAGGCTCCTCAACCTTGAGGGGCATCGCTTCTGACGGCGGGCCGTGCAGCGTGCGATGGGGCTCCCCTCTCCCGTGGCACCGACTAGGTTTTAAGTTGACGTCGGTAGGTCAACCCGGTCACCGGAGTGACCTCCCACTATTCTGGCTCCCCAGCCGGCTAGTGGTGGGCCCTAATATGTAATATAGGTACGGTATGATCCCTTAAGTACCATATCACCCTTTCACCCTTAGTATATTCGAAGAGAATCAATATATATTTAAATGCGGTTCTTTTACGGTAATAAATATAGAAATTTGGAATGAATGGCATGAGATTCAATTTTTTTTATTTCAAAAATTACCAAAAGCTTAGATTAAAAAATTTCAATTTTTGATAACAGGTATTTTGTTTGTCAAATAATAATTTTAAAAAAATAAACAAACCCTCCAAAATAAATTCCTAAGAATAGCCCTAACAGCCCCCTGGTTTATGAGAAACAAACAACTACACAACGATATAGGCACAGAACTATACAGGCCTACCACACCTATCTACCTGGATAACACAACAATTTAAAAATTTCCTCGAAATACTCCACAAAGTTGACGGAGCCCGTCACTACAAAATATCGACAAGAGATACAGAAATCTATAAGACTCAAACCTCGGCTACCTCAGGACATCCTACTAGATCCCAATGGTGACACCTCAACCTCAGATTCTGACCCAGACTCATAGCCAACCAAAATTATTATACATTATATAAATACAAATATTATAATATTACTATTATAAATTTTAAAAAATTGTAATATTGTAAAAATACTTGGTGTATTGACACAATTATATTAATAAATAAATAAAAAAATTGTTTTATATTTGAATTAATTTAAATAAAAATAACAATAGCTATGTCTTATTGTTCACTATACAGCAAAACTGTTTACCTATTTTTGAGTATTCCTATCGTTAAGTCATAGACATAAATATTATATATTAATATAATATACATATATCTAAATTACGGCTAAGCGTAAAGTGAACCTAATAGACAAATCCGTGACAGGCGGCAGCGTAGCCTATGGACTATAATTTTATCTTTCAGTTATAAATTTGATTTATAATAATGATACCTACGCATATCGCAATTTCGTAAATTATAATCAACATTTTCACTTGTGTTCTTCCTTTAAAGCTATAGAACAGCAAAGTTACTGTCGCCTTTTTAACTATAATTTTTTTGCTTCTATCGTCGCCACAGGCCCACAGATAAAATTGATAACATTTATAACTGATAACTTTTAACATAAACACACAATTTTATCTATTTACAATTATTTTCCATTTTCATTTTTCCTTACAAAATGTAAATTTAAGTAGATATGTATAATGAAATAGTATTACAATTATTCAAAAACATTGAACTATTTACAGACAATTTGGATGTTGTTTAGTAAAAAGTATGTAGGTTTTATTCAAAATTCATAATAATGAAGAAGTTTTAGTTAAATAAAAGCAATGACTACCGAAGGACTTCCAGGATTGTCAACTACTGAAGCTTTACGCACACTATATAATGAAATATTCTCACTCAGAAATCATATTAAAGATCAACACATACAACAGTACTTAAAATTCTTTTTATGTCCTGTTTAGTATTAATAATACAATAATAATAATACATTTTTAATAGGGGAAAAGACAGACTATGGATTCAAGATGCATTGAAACACAATAGTCCATTCACTAGTATCTGTTGGATTACTGCTTTGATCATTTTTGCTTGCGGTTTTTCATTGATCATCATTAGTTTAGTGTACGATGAAATGTGGTATCTGTTTGATGACGGAATATTGATATTGATATTGTTAACAACCAATCTTGCTGCTGTATTATGGGATAATAAATTAAGACATGAAGAAATGTTCACCAAGCTCGATCACGTGATAAAAAAACTGAATTGTAAGACAATGTTAACATACTTAAAATAGTTATTAAAAATATTTTTTTTTGATTCTTAACTCAAGGCTATAAAGACAAATGTCAGTGGAAGAAAGAAAATTATCCACATTTATGTATGCCATTTTCTCCATCAGTTACTTTACAATGGACCCAACGTGATGGTGTACTAGTAAATTTACCTTGGGCATTATTGGTAAAGGGTGATATTGTACTTTTGAAACCAGGACAAACTTCTCCGTGCCATGTTTCTAGGCTTAGGGTTTGTGAACTATAATTTACCTGTATAGTGTATATATATATTATAAACTGTTACCTAAAATTAAATTAAATTAATAAATACGCTTGGTAACTTATAGGCTATAGCTAAAAGAAATTAAAAACATTGGAATTACCTATTATAGAATTTTTGATTTAATATAAATGATGTGAGTCTGAATAGTATTAATTGTATTTAAATTCATTGATAAATTTAAGCTATCATGAAATTAAATTAATTCCTAATAATCTTTGTACTAATTTTTTTTAATTAATTCAATCAGTACATGC